AGAAGAGCTGAACCAAGCACTTCTTAACCATGAGCACTCAGACCCAGCACCTGCACCTGGCAGGTGTATGGATGAGACGCCCGTCTGTGAGCCGCCTCAGTCAGCCACTCACCGGCAGCGCTGGCTTCGGGACCCGAGAACGCACCTCAGCAACGGAGGGGTTTGTGCCCAGCACCACCTTTTTCTTCTGAGCGTCCCTACTCACGCCCGGGCGTCTCCACACACGCACCCCGTGCACACTCGCCGTTAACTGTGAGCCAGGCGCCACATCACAAGGACCACACCTTCCGGCCACCAGCTGTCCTGGGGGCAGCAGGCAAGATGCCCGCACACAGACCCGGCGGGGGTCCTGCCTCTGCTAAGACCCTCCAAGGGAGGGAAGTAAATCCATCTTAACTAGAATCATCCAGCACGTGGGTTATTTGGGTTCAGCCTGTTGGCTGAGGGGTAAGTCGCCGATGGCCTGCATGCCTGCACACTTCGTAAACTGCGCACACACTGCCAAGCGCCAGGGACCTGGGGCTGAGGAGACTAAACAGGGAAGGGTGAAAGAGGGCTCACACTGACCTGGCTGTGAGATTACGGCTACAAGTTCTTGGGATGTTTAAAGTCGTATTTACCCAAGTAGTATCTCAATATTCTTAATCCAGAGATTACTGTTCAGCGTGTTTCTCCCTGCCTCCTCCCAAAGGAGAGCAGTTAGTTTCGATAAAACTTGGCAGAGGAAGGCCCGGGGGTGAGATCCTCGCCACCACACTGCGCGTGGGCCAGGGCCAGGGCCAGGCCCGCCCTGCTGAGGTGAGCCGAAGCCTGCTCAGAGTGGGAAGACCCAGCAGCACCCCCAGGCCTGGCTGGGCTTCACGATGGGATATGCTGTGCCGAGAGCTGACATGGTGAGTGACCAGCCTGGCTTCAGCGGTGGAGAAAACCTCCTGCGGGAGGCAGCAGTGAAGCCACTTCAAGGACAGAGACGGCGGCGGTCAGGCGGACCGGCGGGCGAGGGCCAGGGACACGCCGGGCTGGTGAAGGGCAAGGGGAGCCATGGCAGAAGCTCAGGAGAGAGTAGGGTGGGGAGGGGTGCACCCCCGGGCTGCCCCAGTGGGGGTTCCCACCCTGCCCGGGGTTGCCTCTCCACGAGGGTCTGGCTGTACCCCACAACCGCGCACCTCCTGGGAGGGCCCAGGGTCACAGGCTGCATGGTGGGGAACGCCGGCGCGAATGAGCACTGGATTTGGGCCCCCGACTCAGGCTATGCGCCAGTAAGGCGATGCACAGCCTGGGGAAGAGGCGCCTGTCTGAACTGAAACCTCCAACTCTTCTTCTGCATGGGAAACGGAACTCCTGCACAGAAACTGACCCGTGTAATTCACAGTTAAGTTCACGTACCTTTCAGAGGTTGAGGAATCACGCCTTGCCAAAATTAAAGATAACATTTTAGGGCTAGCAAGTGGGACCCTTTTTTTTTTTTTTTTTTTTAATGAAGAGAGGAAGTAAAAAACACAATGTAACTAGGAAGGCAGAGATTTGGGCAGCTGGCTTCCCTTTCATGGTTTCATTTCCCTCCTTAGGTGAAAATAATCCTGATATGTAAATATCCCACTGATTCCAAGACTTATTCCCACGTCCATCCTAAGCAGTGTGCAGGGATGATTATGCAATAAACGAGTTATTTCTAGACTTCCCCGAGACAGCTACCGCATATGAAGCATTGGGACTTAAAAAATAAAGCACACCCTACATGCAAGCAGAAGCAAATTAGTGAAGATTGCAATCTTAACCATTATGAAATGTTTTAACAGGAAAAATGTGGATGTTCTTCTACTTTAGGAGCCTTGCAGCCAAGGGTTAGCCGTCGAGGAGTGCTAACGGGCAGATACTATGGTAAGCGCTTGGGACTTTTCTGGCTAACAGTCTTCACCGTCCTATCAGATGGGGATTGTCTCTGTTTGAATGTACAGAAACTAAGTGGGAACAAAAGCGCACGCTGACGAGGCGTTGGGAGGGTGGGTGAGCGAGCAGGCAAAGGCACCCAGCCTGGAAAGTGAGGCGGCTGGACCAGGAGTCCCATCTGGTCCACGACGACTCTCAGCCCTCGCAAGAGACAGAGCAGCCCTCGAGCAAGCCAGCGAGGCCGCTGCCCCCTGCACGGTTCTCTTCCATACATGCCATCACTGCAAGGGGGAGCCAATGCTTAACCTCGTTAGCAAATCACTTGTGAGAGAGAAAAACCACATCCAGGGTCGTCACAAGTCGAAAAGTCTCATTTTCAGACAGCACTTCCTGAAAGAGACAGAGCAGCCGCGGCAGCCGAGCCGGCAGCAGCTCCCATGCCGACAGTCCTGTCTCAGACAGCTTCTTCGAGTGAGAGAGGAGCCTGAAACAGGAGAAGCACAACTCAAAGACACCATTTCTAGAAAGAGTTATTTCAGCACAAGCCGCTCAAAGGTATGTCTTCTGTGGAGCTGGGTCACGCTCTCCCTTGCCACCGTCTTCTGGACAGGAGGTAAGTAGAATCGCATTAATTTTACCCACACATCCTAAGTCACACCGTACTTAACAACACATTACTGAAACCGTGGTGCTGCTGGACCCTGAAATGGGTCATGCTGCCTTCTTTCTGCATTATCAATCCATTTTTCTTTGTTTTCAGTACTCTTAATAGCAAATGTAACTTTTTCCATCTTTAGAAAATGTGTCTGATGTGATAAATCACATGTATATTGGAGCATCTCTGGTTGCAGTAATTTGTTTCACAAAACGTAAAGCAAGATTACAGACAATGGTGGGTCCTAACGCTTTTGAAAGCTGACTCGAAAGCCTATCCCTTTTTCATATTTATCCCAAATACACCTACGCGTGCAAAACACGACCTGCAGCGAGAGGGTCTTTAAAACAAGTATCTCGCATCATTTTTTCAATCTTAAAAGCAAATGAACACAACTACTGGAAACATGAAAGCAGCCTGATGCCAACCGGGAGGGGAAGACGTATTCAAAACTGGTCTTTAAATGGGACAGGCGAGGGGTGGGGGTGGGCAGGGGCCCCGATGCAATCCAAGAAGACAAGAAAAGGATCCAAGTGTTACTTACGACTACAACTACTCCATAAAAACCTCTCCTCAAGTTGGGAGCAATGAGCACTTCAAAACACTCCCCTTCGTATGATACTGGAGATCTGCTTTCTCCGTGCAGTACTTCTCCTTTGATAGAAACGAAAATTCCAACTACACTAATATTTGGCCATTTGATAGTGTTTGAGTAGACAGAACCCTACTCCAAAATCATTGCCTGTAACAGTGCAGGAACTAGCTACAGTCAAGGAAGGAACAGAAAAACACCTGGTTTCGGGTTTGCCCCGGCTCAAGTTAACCTTAACCCCGAAGGGCCCGATGTGCCTCGCCGGGCTGCTCATTCCCCGGGGGGGGGGGGCGTCAGTGAAGGGAGACACGGGGCTCCACGGCAGGCCGCCCCTGGCACAGTGACGTTCTTGAAGGAAACTTTCCACCCACCTCCCCGTGTCAAAGGGCTGCCACAGGTTCCACCTCTCTGCAGTGAGGTCATTTTTGAATTCACGGCGGTGACACGGCATCAGAGGGCTGGAAGCTTCATGCTGCGGCTGAAGCCCGGAATCGTCACGACAGAACTCCTTTCCAGTAGGAACAGACATGGGGCGAGGTACCAGTGTCTGGCACACGCCAAGGACCGAAGGGCGCACTCATATGTGCCTTTACCGCTCCCTCTGGAAACCAATCTTCAAGCGCCCGCGCCTGGGGGCCGAGGTGCTGGCAGCAGCGACAGGTCCAGGCGCTCTCCCCGCACCGTGAGCTGGGGTCAGGCGCTCAGTCTGCAGACCGTGGCCCAAGGCTCCTTGCCAGACTGTGAAAACGCAGAGAGCGCACAACAGTGCTTTAAAGGTCAACTGAGCAAGTCTTTCTGGCTGGAGACCAGGCCCCCGGGTCAGCTCGCCAAAAGCTTGCTTCCTTCACTTATCCACCCATGCAGCTGATGTTTATTCACTGAGTACCTACTAGGCCCCTCCTAGGCAGTGGCAAGTTAGCAGCAAAAAGAGAGAAATCCCTACTTGCAAATGAGAATTATTATAAATACCCAGTAATCTACCAGTTATAAGGGCTCATGCAGTACAGTGAATTTTCTCTCACGAACTACCATTTTCTGTTACATATTGCATACACTAAAGTGGTGGTTCATGAGTGAAAATTCACTATCTGAACATTACTAACTGGTTACAAAATGAACAGAATTGAAGGGGACAGAGCAGCCAACTATTAAGTTTCAAAACTGAGGCTACCGGGGCCCTCCCTGGTGGTGCAATGGGCTAAAGCACACACATTGACGCTGGCTGCAGCCGCTACAGCACAAGTTCAATCCCAGGGAGGTGACTCACATGGCGCGGCAGACCTCTCCTGTCTCACCCGCTGCTCCCCTCAGCAGCGCATGTAGCCGATCTGCCTGTTCTGCTCCCCACTCTGTCTCTGGTGAGTCCTCTCGCACACCTCCACCCCAACTCCTGGTACCTCTAGCCTATACCCCAGTTCTGTATACAAAATAAATAAGTCTTCAAAAAAAAACAAAATTGAGGCTGCCTTTCCCCTGTTCGTCCCCTCAGAGAATGCTCACGTAGCAACAACCATTACCTAGTTTCACCTGGCAGGAAAAAGCCCATAAAAGCAAAGATGATTCCATGGGGGGAAAGGAGGTATATAGAAAGTGGGAAATGAACACACTGGCAGAGCGTGATGACACACCAGGCTATCTCAGCAGCTTAGTACGATGCAGCACGATCTAGCGAAGGGGCTTCTTCAGAAATACTGACACGTCTGCGGAGTCCTCCCCGTAAGAGGTCTCCAAGTTAACCTTCACTGACAAGCCGAGTCAAAGGGGCGAAGGTCGAGCGTTCCTTTCCAACGAAGGGTTTACTCCACCTTTTCCTCTTTGCTACCCGACAGCTCCTGAGGGTCATGCCCGCCAGCCAGCCCTAAGATGACCACCCTTCCCAGCCAGGCCCAGCTTGGCCACGACCTAGAACCTGAAGAATACAGGATTGCGGCCCTCGTCTTCTATAGCTGCATCTTCGTCATCGGGCTGCTTGTCAATGTCACCGCCCTGTGGGTGTTCAGCTGCACCACCAAGAAGAGGACTACGGTCACCGTGTACATGATGAACGTGGCATTACTGGACTTAATCTTTATTATGAGCTTACCCTTCCGCATGGTCTACTATGCAAAGAGGGAGTGGCCCTTTGGGAAGTACTTCTGCCATGCCCTGGGGGCACTCACAATGTTTTACCCCAGCATTGCTCTCTGGCTGTTTGCTTTTATTAGTGCCGACAGGTACATGGCCATCGTGCAGCCCAAATATGCCAAAGAGCTTAAAAACACCAGCAAGGCCCTGCTGGCCTGCGTGGGGCTCTGGGTCATGACCCTGATCACTACCGTGCCCTCGCTGGTGCTCAATGAAGACCCAGACACCGCCTCCACTTGCCAGAAGATTTCTGACATCGTCTACTTAAAATCCGTTAACTCGCTCAACTTCACTCGACTGACCATTTTCTTCTTGATCCCTCTGTTCATCATGACGGGGTGCTACCTGGTGATCATCCACAGCCTCTTCCACGGCCGGACGTCTAAGCTGAAGCCCAAAGTCAAGGAGAAGTCCATCAAGATCATCATCACGCTGCTGGTGCAGGTGCTGGTCTGCTTCACACCTTTCCACACCTGCTTCGCTATCCTCATGCTGGACGGAAACAACAACAGCTACAACCCGTGGGGCGCCTTCACCACCTTCCTCATGAACCTCAGCACCTGCCTGGATGTGATCCTTTACTACATCGTCTCAAAGCAGTTCCAGGCTCGCGTCATCAGTGTCATGCTCTACCGCAATTACCTCCGCAGCGTGCGCAGGAAAAGCTTCCGCTCAGGTAGCTTAAGGTCGCTGAGCAACATAAACAGTGAGATGCTGTGAAGGAGAAGACACTCGCCCTCCACCCCTCTAAAACTCACTGGGCCATCTGCCCGAGGGGCCGTGGACATTCTACGTGATCATCAGCAAGTCCCTGTTTGCGTAAACATTTTTTAAAGACCCAACTTGTACAACTCTTTATGTGAGCTCTTATGACGGCAACAAGATTAAATATGCTGAGTACTCGAATAATCACCTTCAAGACTTGTATCAGAGAGTTCCATGAGTTACTGAGAGAAAAACATGCACTTTGAGTTTCCTATTTAAGCCCTGTCTAAATAAATAGCTGATTTAATTTCCTGGATTTGACTGTATGTGCTAGTGAGCTGTCAATCAAGTGTGTGTGTGTGTGTGTGTGTGTGTGTGTG